TACCTCTACCTACCTACCTCTACCTACCTACCTCTACCTACCTACCTACCTCTACTTACCTACCTCTACCTACCTACCTCTACCTATACCTACCTCTACCTACCTACCTCTACCTACCTCTACCTACCTCTACCTACCTCTACCTACCTCTACTAACTACTACTAACTACTACTTACTACTACTTACTACTTACTACTACATACTACATACTACTACTTACTACTTACTACTTGCTACTTGCATCTACTTACTACTTATATACTACTTACTACTTGCTACTTACATCTACTTACTACTTACTACTAACTTCTTACTACTTACTACTTACTACTTGCTACTAACTACTAACTACTAACTACTAGCTACTTACTGCTTACTACTTACTACTTACTACATCTTACTTCTACTACTACTACTACTACTACTACTAGAACTAGACCGGATCTTCATGGGCCATGCAGCCAAAGGCTCTCACCTGGCCTTTTCCGCTGAACTAAGGCGATCGATCGCTACTTCAGCATCTCATTGCGTGGCTCCACGATCGCCACGGAGCTGCGGGCAGGCGGAAGATGGGGGGAGGGAAGGTCAGAAGATCGAACTCTGGAAGGATCCAGATGGGTCAAGCGAAGATCTCGCTTCCTCAAAATTATATACAGCAATGCAGTGCAGAACACAAAACAAACATGGTGGCCGTGAAGGACTATATACTTTGCCACACGCAAAACATGGAAGAGGACATTTCTTTTGCAAACAGGGGGTTCCATTTGCAGCTTGCATCTTCAGCAGAAAGGGCATGGTGCGGTACTAGCTGCGACCCTGGCTGCAGGAAATCTTCGGATAAATATATACGGCAAGTGCCCAAGGCATCCCAATGCTGCAATCTACATATACACATCTACAGTGCAGATGGAAAACTGGAACCCCCCCAATCTTTGAGTTTTATAGGGTGAGTCATGTGTTTTCCAAGGGCCTCAATGTTTGTGGCTCAACCAGGGGCAAGAGTGCGCTACAGAGTATTTCTCGAGATATCTTAGACAAAAAAACACATGTGTATAAGGCTGAGTATGGCCTTGTCTTTAGCCTGCGCAATATATAATGGTTGACACCTGGGGTACGCCCACACCCAGCCCTAGAATACGACGGGCCTCTAGCGCCGCCAGCGACTCCCTCATGCTGCGTTCGTCACAGGAACCACTGCATTCTTGGCGACTGCCAACAACTTCGTGGTGAATGCACACATTATGTCCCATGCAGGCCTCAGTTTGGGGTAAAGAGTGTAGGGAGGTATCATTTTCTAGACGACAAACAGTTGAGCGGGGTCCAGGTACACTGCTGTATATATTGTATATTATATTTTGATCCGAGAAATTCATCATTGGCCTCGGTAGAAGTCTTCCTGCCTTGCCTTCATTGCATTTTACATATCATTTCACATACTCAGCTTTTAAGCCCTTTCTGCCTTAGTTGAACGGGTGCCCGTCTAAAAATCCAGAAGGTATTCTGCCATCGAGACCCTCCTCTTCAAGTGAGCAAGTGTTTATTGATCAGTGTTGAGGGGGCGCAGTCAGCAGAGTCTCGCTATCACGAGGCCTCCACCCTGAGACCTCCTTGGTGAGTGGCGCCTTTGCTGCGGGCGTCACCTGTATCTTGCGCCTCGGACGTTCCCGCCGTTTTCGGGAGCAAAACTTTGCCACGCACACACACACACATAAACACACGGATTTTGGCCTTGGCGAATGCTTTCTGGGTGTTGCTAGAAGCTAGAACAGCAGTGTGTATATATAATACTATATATATATATATTTTATATTCATTCAGTATATACATAGTTATATGTAATGAATATGTATGTATATTATATTTGGTGCTTTTCATAGTTTAGCCTTCTCAACGATGGTGCATGTTACATGCCTTGTCCTGTAGCTATTTTTGCAAAAGCCACTCTTCCGGCGACTCGGACGAAGACTGAACCGTGTTTACTTTGAAACTGCCAACCGATTGCAAGGTGCGGCATGCTGAGCAACCTCCCGTTGGGATTGGTTTCGCAGTTGCAGACAGAGCTGCATAAGCCGCTCAGGGAGCGCCGAGCATCGTTGACCACCTGGGTACCAGGCAACATGCGTAGGCCCCAGGCCCTAGGCTCACTTCGACCATACGAATCTCAGAAGCACTGAAGTTGAAGAAGTACAAATCACTCCCATCAAAATGGCCCTGTTGGTTCTGGTGTGTCCAACAAATGTGGAGAATGGCCTTGCTCTACTTGTAATCATGGCACTCGATTCATTTTGACACGAAGGTTGAAGGGGCGTGGGTGACGGCATATCACGGATGGCCTGCCAGTTTCATCGTCTACTGCAGAGGGTTCTCTCCTTCGCTTCGTCTGTCGGTCAGAGTTGGCACAGGTGGTAGAGGAGTTGAATATTTTAATATATTATATAACTATATATACTATATATAGTAGATGTATTGCGCTTTTGATATGTTCGGATTGTTTAATATGGACAAGTGGCGATGTTTGGTCACATGAGGAACCCTGAATACATTCCGGGGCGTATTGTTGACATCCTCCATTCCTAGATGCCTGCTTCCTAAGAGAATTGCTACAGATAGCCACCACGGCCATACACATCACGACCGAACACCGATATAATTTAACTGTGTTTCGAGGAGAAAAGGAAAAGAATCCATTGAGGCCAGAATACGTGAGGCCATCAATAGGAGACGGTACTTCCCAGGGCCCCAGGAAGAAACACTTGGCATCATGTCAGTATGGGTCAAACAGCTCCAAGTTCAATCCTCTAACTTTCTACTATGTATATAATTGCATATATACAAGCCTACTGAGAGGGGACTTCTAAGATGGCCACATCATGACTGAGGTTCCATCTGTGGGTCCAAATGTCTACATCGCTTACAGCTTGGTGGGGCCACGCTTGTTTTCCACCCAGCAGGCCTTGGCCATTTCCGTGACTTCGGCAGCAGCTGTGATGAGATGTGCTGAGAAGCTGTTTGGTCAGCCGGGAAACCAGCAACAGAGCGTTCATTCTCACCCAGAGAGAATCCACGCACTAGGCGTGCTACATAATATGTCCTCTTCCGAAACGTTGTACAGTCAATAAAGTAGTAATATCCTGGTACCCTTTGAACCATCATCATCCACTGTTACAATGGTTCGAACCTACTGTACCCCAAAGTATCAGTGTTCGGTCCTACCCAAGTATCAGTGAGTATGTTCAGAGCATGGCACGTTTTGGTGATTGCGTGTCACCCGTCCCGGATGAACGGCCACCGCTGCGAAGAGCTAGAGGCCACATCTGGCGTTTGCTTGGTTCTGCGGCTCGGATTGGGCAAGGCTGCAGGCATCTTAAATCACCAAGACACGAGCAGTTAGATGCCGATCATCTAGAATGAGCGGAGCTGACGTATTTCCTTTGGAGGAGAGAAAACATATGTCCCACCCAAAACAAACAAGAACAGAACACCATGCACCTTCCCCTTCCTAGGCCCACCGAAACTGCTCCACAGAGGCCTGTCACTCCATTGGTCTTCAATTGTATTCATTACTCCTGAGTCTTTCTCAACCGAGATTTCATTTACCAGCCAGTTGGGACAGGTCGGTCTCCAAAAGCAAAAGCAGTCAGTTACGCTAGAGCTAAATTTCTGTTTGAACTCAGGAGCAGGTCCCCCTTGTGCTAAGTGCATGCATATGTGGAGCTCCTTCTATGAGCTACATGCTGAGCATGTTCACTGCATGCGAAAAGGCTTAGCCAGGTTTCGTCACGTGCTCGATGTGCCTCGCAAAACAAGGCTGTCGTTAACGCCTTTGCTTCGCATTGTTCTGGGGCTCATGCCCTTGAGCAACTTGGCAAGCAATCAAGCTGCATGCTGACAGCTTGCCCATGGGCTGGGATTGAACGAGGTATCCAGCCTTCACAAGCCTTTGCAACACAGTCAATGTTTCATGAACGTTTGTCCCATGACTTGTATCCGAACGATTTCAACACACAATCGCAAACAATTGAACATTTGTCTACAATGTGAACTCCCGGATTATTTTTTTTGTTATCATGTCGAATGTCTCATATACATATATATATATATAACAAGGTTTCACAAAAGATAGTTCTTTCATAAAAGTTGGTTCTTTC